TAATGGGAAACGGGGGCGATTGATGCTGGCCGGGGTGGACCAAGGTGCAGGGGTGTGTGGTGCAGCAGGCAGGCGAGTTGTAGCTGTAGTGGGGCACGGGGAGCGGGGTGGCAGGTGTGGCGGGGTGTGGTGGGGTTTGTCGGCGAGCAAAGAGCAACGGGTTCTCGTACTACTTGCTTTGGGTCAGAGCATAGCCCCCCTGTCCTCCCGGTTACCCCAACGTTTTCAGCTACAGTGACTTAACAGATGCTGACGGGGTGCGCGCGCGAGGGTTTCGGGTTCCACCCCCTGCCCCCTTTCTCTCTTTCTCTCTCTCTCTCTGTCTGTCTCTCTCTATCTCTCTCTCGCGCGCGCACGCGTGTTCTCGGCTGGGCAGCATGCCTCCTTCGCTGATGGGCCTGTCCTCGTTTGTTGGCATTTGGTTTCGTTCGGCCCGATCCGGTTCGTCTCGGCTCGGCTCGGCACCCGGGCCGCCGTGGCCATGGCCCGGCTTGGCCCTCTGCTGGTACCCGGCCGCCTCCGCTCGGCTCGGCCGCCGGGCTCGTAGTGTGGAGTGGGCTGGGCACTCCCCGCGGCCCGGACCGGCCTCTGGCCCAGCTGGTCCGGTCGGGCCGGCCCGCAACAAGTGCAGCATGCAGCAATGCAGCACACATCCAGTCAGTACCTGGTGCTCGTCTCCTGGGCGCTCTGGCGCCGTCGCGCCGCCCAGCTCGTGCTGGACCTGGAGGAGCCGGCGACGATGCAGGACCGGTAGCTGCCGTCCCGGACGAAGGACCAGGGCGAGTGCGGCCCGGCCGGCGCCGACGATGGCGAGGTCGCGTTGGACAGGGGGCTCTCCGACGGCGAGGTGGACGACCAGGACACGTCGTCGCCGGCCTGCTTGCTCGGCCTCGGGATGGAGATGGACAGCATCTTCATGTTGACGGTGGCGGTGGGCATGGCGCATTGGCACGACGGCGTGCTCGCGGCGGGCGGCGCCCGGGGGGGCCTCCTCGACTACGAGGGCCTGGCGGCCGCTTGATCATCCCATAGCGGCCGGCAGCACATCACATTGGCACTCACTCGCGCACACTGTCACACACGCACACACACACTGCTCTTCCTAGTGCTTTCTCTCTCACTCCCACGCACGGGAGGCGCCACGCGACCGGTCGGGTCGCTCGGGGGCACGGCGGGGCGGGGCGCGGCGGGGCGGGGTGGGCACGCGATGGCGTGGCGCGGCGCGGCGTGCGCGCGGGGGCCCCGTGTAGTAGATGCGAGCGGGAGCGCCGCCGGCAGCTCACTGGCGGCTGGCGGCTCCGCTGCCATGCCTTGCGTATAGCGGAGACCGCTTGGGCCCCGCGCCACACCGTGCCCCGCCTCGCCCCGCCGCGCCCTGCAGCGCTACGCCCCGCCACGCCCCGCGCCGCGGACAGCGGGTGGGAGAGAGACAGCGAGAAGAGCAAGACGCGCCCCGCCAAGCCTCGCGTCCCGTCCCTTCCCGTCCGGTGTGTGCCCGCGCGGCCCGCGCCCGCTGCGAGCGGCGCGGCGGATCCAGAAGGCGTGTCTGTGCGTCCGCCCGTCGGCCTGTCCGTCTATCTGACCGTTTGTCTCCGCCCCCCCCCCCTCCCCCCTTCCCTACGTTAGGACACGGCCAGCAGCGGCGTCCAATGGGCCCCCACAACGACGCCGCAAACGTGCGCAACGTCCGAGGAGAATGGTTTTGGTGCCTTTTTGCGCGAGCCGGGCCGGCGTCCAGGGCGGTCCCGGTGGCCGCCGTGGCGGTGGCCCGCTGCTGGAGAACCGTTCCGCTCCGCACGCCGTGCATGCCCGCGCGCCAACCATCCAGCGGGGCCCTCATAGCGGGGCCCAACTCCAGCGAGACAACGTTGTGTGATGTGGCGTACACAGAACACAGAGCTCAAAAATTAAGAGTGAGTTAGGGATCGTCCAGAAAGTATCTCCGTTTCCCCCATAGATTCATTCGGCGAATTGAGGAAGGCGCCTGCGAGTCTCAGGGTAGGCCACCCCGCAGTACACGCATGCAACGCGGGCTAGATGTTGCCTACTACTAGGCGCTATATGAGAGCTTTGGGTGAGCTGATTTTTCGGGGGCGCCTGTGAGCCTTGAAGGCGGTGGGGAGGAATTGACTCAATCTCCCTTCTCCAATCCCAGCCCGTCCTCTCTCGCTCTCCCTCCTCCTTGTCTCTCTCACACGCAGGTACAACGACCGCTGCTGGTAACAATAGTGTGCATATATATTACGGCGGCAACAGATCCGGAGAAGAGAAGTCTCGAGTTGTTTGTTCTTCCCGCGCGAGTCTTCCCCATACCTCTGCCACCGCAATTCGCTACAATAAGCACGTGTGGCAAAAAAAGGGGGGCGAAATTTGCAGCCTCATTAAGCGGTGAGGTGCGGGGACCTAGAGGGAG